ATACCCGCGTCCAAAAGGTTTATATAGCCGGCTTTGAAAATCCCCATTTTATACTGTTTTTCCGCTGCAAACGGTGCGCGAAGTCTCGTTTCTTTTTTATACTCGTATATGAACAACGTAAACTGCGATTTTTCGGGCGTACGTAATGACTTTGATAGCCGCCCGGCCGAGTGAAAGTCGCTGGTATAGTTGGTCCCGATGAAAGTAGAGTGCCCGTCCTTTCCCTCGTATATATTATATGTATATAACGTATAATGCCTACTGTACGTGTAATAATATTATATTATATATAATACCTACGCTGCGGGTACGATATAGGTACCTCTATATATCTGCTGTATATTGGTCGTCGAACAATATTATATATATTATACTCGTATCGATGATAAAAATGTATAATGTGTAATATTATTTCGATTGCTTTGGACAGAAAAAAACAATCCGCAGTCTAGTCTACTTGGTATATTACAGGGTGAATCACCGAGCTCATTCTCCTTTCATCCCTCTCCTTCAATGCAGTAAATCGTGATTTAATTTTTGGAACTTTTGAACCCAGGTAGGCAGAGACCGTATTTTAAATTTGTTTAGATGTTTTTACCTTTGGAGGTACAGATTTTGCCGACTTCAAATGAGAACAACCTTTTCTACTGTAAATTATTCAGTGGATAATAATTGTTTTGGAACTGTGACGAATCTGATGACACTTCTTAAGTATAATACCTATAAACACTCTCAAGAATTTAAAAATATAGCATTTAAGTTTATTTAGAAATTCCAAAAATCAGAATTAATTTTTAAATAAAAAAAATGGGAGTGAGCAATGTTCACTGAGCATGCTTGGGGTGTTTACCCTGTATAATACTTATCATTATAGAGTACTATAATTGTATGCCTTTCGAGTCTATTCAGCCGACGTAACAACATAATGGACAACAGATAAATAAATAGATATACGTGTATTCTTTGATGTATCATTTTAATGTACTATCATCCGCGATATAAAATGTTATCCCACATTACATGACTTCTGAAAATCCCTCGTTTTAGTAAAACTGACTCTGTTGTTGGCATTATCTGTAAATAACAATTTCGACTGTAGATCCGATACGAATAGTATATAGTTTGAAAATCGTCTATATAATTTCAAATATTTTAATAGCCTGCAATATAGGCCGTATAAAACTCGTATTTATTTGTATTGTTGCTATAAATTGTATTTGATTTATCACTATATATTATCATATCCAATTTACATTTATACCAACTTTCAGCACATAATAATTTTCTAATCTGCAGCGACAAAAAGTAAATAGCACATTATACCATGTTTGGTCTCCGGTTTGGTTAACTGTTTTCAATGTATATTATTTGTACTTACAATAACTGTTAACCGTAAAAACAAATTTTGTAAACGATAATGGATGCGAAAAACCGCTTATCGTCGACGACATTAATATGATATATAATATTATACAGGTGTATTCCCTCTTTGCAGGTACTCGTATACTTTGTGTCTATTTAATTGTAAAGATTATTTGTTTACTCTCGTGAGTTACACACACACACTTACACAATTACACATATTATTGTATACCTACGCGCGATGACTAACGTATATTATATGTTCATTAAAATAATTTTATTATCTGCTATGCAACACTGGTTATTATTATTTTTTATCGTTCGTTAAAAATATTCTACAACATAATAGTATTATTTAAACATCTCAAACGTTTATATTATAATATAATAAACATTATATTTTTATAGAAGCAGTAAGTCCCCGGTGTCGGTAGAGATTTAATATTGCGCGTAAAAGACTCGTGGGAGTAATGAAAGTTAAACCTTACACGTGTATTATTGGTATTTGCACAGCTTTTGTCAATATAATAATATAATAACTGTTTACACGATTAAAAAAAAAAGATATATTCCCGTACCTATACGATACACCTTTTTTTATTGAGCTTCTATGCGCACTGTGTATATAGTGTGCATATATATATATGACTTTTAACTTTATGTAATATGTCCACTTGTATATTATGTATAAAGTGTATGTAATTTGACAATTCCGCGTCACAATATGCACATAAGGTTTTGATTATAATCGAACCCACCCTTCTATTCTACTCAGCTAGAGGCGGCCTGTTATATGTTTTCAATGTTTTCATCGTCAAATTTTACATATATTCGATGTACAGGGTGATTTATAAAACATGCCAACCCACTTTTGTTCGGTTCTTTAATAACAATTTTGATTTTAGGCATTTTTTAGTTACTTATGGACCATATTTTCAAATGCTCATGTTTATTATACCATTTAAAGAGGGTCTGTACCCAGTTGTGGTTATACAAATCTCATATTTTATTTTTCAATTGAACCCAACATTTTTTAGTCATTTACTGCACATATTGTTATGCATATGATTTTTTTTTTAATTATTACGTATCTATAAATCGAAATTGTAATGAGTACCTACTTTCTAATTATAAAAAATATATTTACAAAAGATATAATAAACTTTTAAAATATGGTCTTACAAATGTATACATTATGTATGCAATATAGAATTTATATAGACCTATTCATATAATATATTAAGACAATATTTTTACAAATTATAAAATTGTGTTAATAACATTTTAGTTACCTAGGTACATATATCATCATTAAAAAAAAGAAGTTGGTCTTGCGCTCCTCAAACGGTATATTATTACTAATTTTAACATAGGTACTCTGATAACTATAAGTTCACTTATAAATTCCAAGAATCAGAATTCATTATTGAAGGAAAAAACCCTTGGGTGAGCGAATCACTCTGTATAATATACGTTTTACGTTTCTACTGCCTCGAGTACTGAGAAAAATAATTTACATCGATTCTGTTTATGTTTAATATCGTATTATAATGCATTCCGCGGTATGTGTATGTGTGTGTCATAAACAGAATACATTAGTATAACGTTGCGCAAAAATTCGTTTGTCACAAAACGAGCGTAAAGGGACGCTTAACAGAATAATAATAATAATAATAATAATCGGTACCTCTGTATATATTCATACAATATTCTCGTTATACTTGCGCAATTCATATAATATGATATATTGTATGTATTCGGTAGGTATTAACAACCCATAATATGTGTTCGCACTCGAAAACAACAACGCTTCGATGCTGTACTTTTGAACTGTACAACTCTGCGAAAATTATAGCTCATAATATACATTATATAAAAGTTCAAGTGTAAGAATAAAACTTATATTTGTATGAAAATACTATTATAACGACTCGATAAAATGTATCCGCGTGCTGGCCCTAAAAAATCATAAAACGCGGCCAAAGCGATGACAAACGGTAGACTACCGCGGTATAGTGTACGTACAATGTTTAGTATGACCTATACCTGTATTACCATTTACCAGGTACCAAAGCGCAAATATGCGACGGTGAACGATCACTGCGACGAGATCCGCGCAGACGTGCCTTGCAATCACTTATTTGTATGGCGCAGTTCTTTTTAAATGGTCTGCAGACGATTGTGGCCACATATTGTTAAAGTACGAAAAGCGTTTCAAAACGATTGTTCCGATTCCAAAATATGATTTTCTTTGTACAATTTGAATAGGTAATTCAAAGTTAGGATAAGTCATAGCTATAGGTTACAATTACGTTTTCTTACAATGTTTGCAAATGTTCTGTGTGTAGTGTAACGACCATATTATTACTTTCACAGCACACTGCACGTTAAGCCAATAGTCGAATTTCGTATAAACCTGTTGAAGCATGTCGACCTCTCCTAATCTGCAAGTTGCAGGTGGTGCCAACAACGCGACTTTTGAGTTCGTTGAGATCATCTCCGCTGCGAAGGAGAGGTGGTACACGAATACAGAGTATTTTATGTACCCCCAAAGAAACGAATCACAGACCGCAGTAAGGTCCGGAGAACAGAGCGAACAAAGTGCTTATGTTTATGAAAAAAACATTATTATTGATATTCCTCATAGATTATTGTGTGCCGTGCGAGTAATAATTGCGCATTAAAGTCACGCATTGAACATTTGTAAACATTGCAACAAAAACTTAATGTAATTGCTAACCTAACCTGTAATCAGTACTACAAATTTAACAACAAATATCACTTTTTGAAATCGGGATGAATCAACTTATTGGAACACACTGTCTGTACATCTAAATAAAATGCACTTATTATTACGTCATTGTTTTAACGTCCCGGAGAGTCTGTTTAAAGTATATTATTTATTGATTTTCCTACATAACGAACTTTGTGTACAAGTATAACCCAATCTATTATAAATAATTGCGGGAATATTAATAATTTAAATTTATTATATATTATGCATTTTCCGACGTTGTGCAGCGTTGGCTGGAATTTAAACTCGCTTGATACAATATAATAATATACCTACAGTCTTGTTTTTTACTCTCAGTAGATATTTCATTCTTGCTCGTAGTTTATACATTATGATTTGTATAATTTCCTTTTAATACCGCTGAATGAATGGTGTTCCGTTGTATATTGTCGGTTCGCAAATTATTGATAATAAATACATGAAAATGTATGTATAATACTGTATGATTAATACTGCACATTGTCGCGGTCTATATCCGTAAAACCTATTCCGAACAATTTATAATTTTATACCATTGCTATGATGATTGATGATGTAATTGTTAATTGATTGTTTAAAAACTAAATCAACGTCATGATAGGAGGAGGGAGGGTAAATCGTCTGTCGTGTAAATGAATTTAAAATTAATAATTTGATTTATAGTTTCGCAGTTTATTACTGCGTTATTGTTTCTCTGTCCTTTGAATGTATCTGCAGTAGCCATCGTATAAATTATGCAGGTGGCACCAGGCGCGTACCAAACTAGGGGGTAGCAAACTCCCCCCCCCCGCTTTTTAAAATATAAACATTATTTATAGTTTTGCCTAAAAAATAATAATGATTGAAATTGTATTTTGTTTTACAGGGAAACAATTCTATGAACATAAACGTAAGACAGATTTTAATATTATTTTTTTTACAAGGTACTTACTGTAACTCTAATTTATAATATGTACCTGCCTAATTTTACTAAGTTTTAGAGTTAAATAGATGCTCGTTTATTAAATTGTACTATTATCGGATTGGAACGGGGCATACTTTACACTAATATCATATATATAGGTATTCTTAGCCGCCGTATCGAATCAAGTATCGTTATATAGTTGTGGTTCGTGCAGTGTATAATATTGTACCCATCTGCTGGTACCTATGTGTTTAAAGGGCGAGTTTGACGTGTGATATATAGGTACATATATTATAGTGTTGGATCTCAAATCTCAATTATACACACACACATATATATATAGGTATATACTTACGGAAGCGTAGGTATAGGTGTATATGTGTGTGTACACACTGTGCGTATGCCAAAATAGACAATGGATGTATTAGCCGCAGTGCCTATATAGTTCGAACAACAATGGGTCAACCGGAGCAAATTAGACGGTATATAATAATATTATAATAGCGTTGAACACAGAGGAAACGAACACACACACACACACATGTAAACATCCATCGAGCGACTATTATTACTGCGCACGGTGGATATCTCTCGAGTGGTGTGTGTATACTATGGCTGGCACCCGGCCACGGGAAAGGTTATATTATAGTGGCGAGTGGAGTCGACGATACTATAATCGATGTTGAAAAAAAACACGTCCCAAGTAAAAGTACGATCTGGAAACGTACATAATATAGTAATTCTTCGCGTTTATATAGGTGTCACGAGCCGGCCGAGACGTCCCCGCAACGAGTCGTGAGGCGGTAGCAATAAAATAATAGATACCTATGCGTGTTGTCACTGTCATATAAAACATAAAGGCATGTTACCACTACAAGTATAGTTAAAGGCAAGCCTGGGCATGAACTAGTTAAAAAGTTGAGTTAGTTTTAACTTTTTACCTTAACTTTTTCAAATTAAATTTTCATTACCTTGATCTTTGACTTAACTAATTATTATTGATATATAGGCTTAATGACCAGCAGTTACTTTTAATGAAATCCAAGTTACGTACATTTATAAATAGTTGTATAATAAATATAGTAAATATAAATATAACTTAAGTTAGTGTGTTACTTAAAATAATTAAGATCCCTGTTAACTTTCAACTTTTTAAAATGTCTTAAATTGACTTAACTTAGCTCAGTTAAAAATTATCATTAACTTGCCCAGGCTTGGTTATAGGTACCTATCTAATGCAAAGGAGGGGGAGGGGGTGACTGGTCGAACCGCGCATTGTATCGTCTTTTGAAACACTCTTCGGACGAAAACCGTACGTATTTGTTGTACCTCAAAGTTCAAGTGAAACCTCCGAAAAGTGGACAACATTTCAGAATTCAGATGTTTTATACGGTAGTATATATTATACAATTTTTGTAAAACATTAAAAAAAGGAACTGGAGACAGATAATATACTAATAGGGGTGGCCTTCGCACGCGTTTTTGGCGATGACCACTATTACCACTTTCGGTTAGTTTATGGTTTCGGTATGGTAATGATCCTATATTATTGCGTTGTTCGACCATAATTTACCCGTTTTTATCACTGCATTTTTCGTCATACAAATTACATTGTTTTAGCACGCGGACGTCGTCGGGCGCCGCGCCGCCGGTCCGCCCTTGTCCTGCAGCTCATATAATAATCAATCGCACTTTATGCGACACTGCAGTTTAGCCAATAGCAATAATATTATGTGTGTCCTCGTTATTATTTCGACTCATTAGAATTAATTTCCAAATCTCAAAACGTTATCAACTTTTTATTAACACACGGAAAATATAATATATAGGTATATGTGCAATAATAATATAATATGTGATCGGATAGAGTTGGAGCAGATAATATCGTCGTCGGGTGAAATTATTTAGAGCGCTAAAATCGACATGATATAATACATAACTTATTAAATTATGTTTAGCATAATATTACATTATAACATGCGTCTCGAAATCGTACTTAATCTATGCATACATCATGATATTTAGGCATATTTCAGACCTCAGTTTGATTTCATAAATGTATAGGTACCTCCTGTAATGTAAATTATGTGTTTCCTCGGACGTGCGTGTCCTTGCTGCGAGTTGTATATATGACTGCTAGCTCGCAAACAACCTATAGGGGGTACCATATATTACACGAGCACCTAAGCGTGATAAATGCTCTTAAAACCTGCGCAAGTGCATCATCTCTCTCAAACTACTACAGGTTTGCCCATGTATCATAATATAATATATGTTTTAATTAGAAACCATCCGTCGCCCTTAGGCCGTCACGCACGACTGTAGTATTGTGACGATAGCATTACACTTTACTATAGGTGATAATCGATTTATTTATTTTCGTTTGAGTCTCTGTGGACTTATATTGTCATATTGATTCATGTAATGTGTAACTAATTTCACTAATTATTTTCCAAAGACAAGACCATGATAGAATTATGTTGTCCGATGATGATAATTATTATATTTTTATGTTATTATCGCGCTCATAATATTATATCGTGTTGCTGTGTACCGCAGACATTCGTAATTCGTTTGGTACGCTGCTCGTGTACATAATACAGGATTTTTGTCGGCGGACTGTTTACGGCGATGTTTAGTAAATTATTTAATCGCATTAACAACAAAATATTTCGCCGCACGTTATGCGTATGAAAGTTATACGAGTGCGGCGCGCAGACGCATTCGTATGGAATGAATCTCATTTCGCATTCCAATTGAATAGAACTCATTCACAGTATTGCTGACGTGCTCGAACGTTTTGTTTGGTGTATATATATTCTACTTAAATCGTTATTCTTCTGGTTTGACTTCTTTATCGTTCGAAACCGTATGGGAATATTGTTTACGACCGCCTTAAATGCGCAAAAGAGACGGACGATTTGCAGTATTGGAAATTATTGTTTTTTCTTTATTTGACAATTTTTCATTTATTTTATCTGCATCCCCCCCCCTGGACATGTTGTTTTATATACTTGCAATATTTTCGTATCCAGCGCCGTTACCTGCAGCCACAATATATATATGTTATATATAATAAACTATGTGCGAATTTATATATATATGTAGTGTAGACTGTAAATATACTACTACGTATGGTATGTGTGTATAGGTAGTAAATCTATATAGTAATAAATATATAAACATTAACCGTTTCAACTATACTTAACGACTCTCGAGAGCGGTTATTGTGGTCCACCTCATCGATGCTTCTAAATAAAGTTCAAACTTTTTAATTTGAGGCCTGCTGCAGACTTGTCCATTTTGTGTTCCACAATGTATTAATAATGTGCATCGCGTGCGCACAATGTTCACTAAAACTTTCCGCCTATATATAAGCATTATTATATATACAGGATGATTCACCGAGCATATTATGTTCATCCCTCTTTAAAAATGACAATTTTAATCAAATTCTGAGTTTTTGGAATTTTTAAGTTTACCTAATTAAATGCCATCATATTTGCATATATAACTACAATATAGTCGTATCATTAAAGCTCCCATAGTTTTTAGCCAACTATCATGGACTATATACCTAATTTATAAACTGTATTAGTAGGCACTCTTGTTTTATGACTCGGCAACTATTATGCTCGTTGGAATTTCAATTTAAACACATTAATACTTCCAAAAAAATCATACAGTAAAGGCCAAAAATTAAAATTTGGATAAATGGATCAGGTACTAAAAATGGGGATAGTATGCTCGTCGAATCGCTCTGTATATCATCTCGTACGTGAAATGGTTATCGACTTATCGTAATATCGTGTGTTGTCCTCTGTTTTCCCAATGCGACATGATAATGCACACCACCCGTGTTAATGTATTTTTATTGCGAATAATTAACCCTTTCCCACGGGCTATACATACATACCCTCGACGGTTTCACTGGTGCTATTATTGCGCAATCACTCCTCTTCGCACGAATACAATTAAAAACGTTTTACCGGAGAATAATTCATTTGATTTACATGGGGCTTATTGACGAGACCGCTGCAACAACGTGCGCAGACCTAAAAACCTATAATATTAATACAATTGTATTATTATTATTTTCATGCCATTTTTAGTTTTTACTATTTAATATCTAATCGCCGCGCCGGTGTGTTTAATACAATATAATATTGTAATGTGTATAGTGTATTAGTGTGTATGAGTGAAGGACCTACTCAATGTAGGTCTTCAATAGACCGGCCCGACGGCCGAATAATTATCATTATAAAATGATTTAAAATCGTACACATAATACTGGCTTATCCTCGCTGTGTGAATGCGGGCAGTATCATTATATTATATTCTTCGTACCTGTATTATTATTATTATTATTATTATTATTATTATTATCGTAACACTTTTTTATCATTTCGCCGTGTGTACGGCAAATAGGACACTTATTATTATTATGGTCTTTGGCTTGCGAATCGTTTGTATTTAACCGGATATCTGGTCCTTTTGCGCGGATTAACGCTTATATATCATAAATACAATATTATTACTAACAAAGTCCAAACCACTCTGTTGCAGCGGCTCGCGGAGAATTGCACACGGCGATATAATATTATTATCTATCTATAATCTATATATGTATAGCGGCCACACACAAGTTATATGTATATATACATATACACGTCAGTATACACGCTTTACACATATAATAATAATATATATAGCAAACGTTTCGCAAATATTGAACCCTCCCTCGCGATCAGTGTGACTTGGTTGGTGTGCGTATTATATTATGTTATTATATTATTATAGATCTCACGACGAACACAAGCGCGCCGCCGTCGTTAACCGTCCGTACTGCGTGTACATCATATTATTATATTGATATTATAAATTATGCTCTGTCCGTGCTCGATTATATTAAACGTCATATTGCAGCCGATATAGATTGTTGTAGGCACAGGGTGATTCACGCCTAGCACGCTCATTGCTATTGC